GTCCAAGACCGAACTACTTGTAATTACGGGAGTTCTCTATTAACTAGTGTTCCATTTCCGCGTACCTACTCACATATAATCGGTGTACTTGAAGTTAAATACCATTGTGCTGTATTGTTATGTGTATTAAACAAAAACAATCAACAAAGGTTTGAATTTCTCATCGTCCAAAATGGAAAAACAATCGTCTGCTAATGAAGAACAAGGTATTATATTATTTCTATTGCTGATATATTCGATTTTAATACGTTTTATTAGATAACTTGTATTTTTTTGTTGCAGATGGTTCCCGAAAAAATAAAAAAAGTAAGTATTATATTATCATTCGAATTTGATGTATCGATAGGTACCTACATAAAGTATTTTATATAATTATATAATATATGTTGAACTCTGGCTTTCGGGTAACATAACAAATGTTGAAACTTGTCTTTTACATTTGTTCTAACAGAACTGTTTATTACAAATAGTATTTATTTATTTGAAAATATAAATTCTAAATGGCAGTTGATCATGTGGTATGAAATTATTATAATTTAAACCTAAAACACATATGAGAACATAACAATACAAATTAAAAAGAAAATAAACACAATACAAATACAATTTTTAATAAATTTTTTATCCCTTGTCCAACGACCAGAACTCAAGTATTCTCTTTTTTTGTTTTCGACATATAAAATATTGTACCTATTCAGAACATTTTTCCTTTGTTCATTTTTAACTGATTACTGCTAAGAGTGTGCACCCTCATTTCACTGCATATATCTTCTGCACTAACCCATGTAATCCATTTAACTATTATATCTCTTACAATAACTATTATTTAACTTTTATTTATTACTAGCTGTCCTGCCTTGCATTGCCTGTGCCAATTTTTATTATTTATCTGCCCATATTTCTTTTTGGTTTTAATCTTGTTCATATGAATGAAAACAAATACCTTAGAACACGGACCCCTGATGAAAGATTTTTAGAAATCGCGAGCCTCCTACCAATTTTTTGTCGAATACCTTTTTTTTATAAAACATCTCATGTTATCATAAACTAAATTATAATAATTATTTTATATTACAAATTATAGATACATATTGTATTCATGTTTTACATAACATAGTAATACTGATTTATTTATTAATTCTTCTCAACAACAGTTCTTTAATATTTCCTGATAAACCATCGATTCGTTTTTTTATTGTATCATTTGACTTTGCAATTTTTTTAAGCTATTTGTAGCTTCTTACTCTTTTCATACACCGAGTCTTTTTATCATCAACATCAGAATTCTTCCTTTTTAAATTTAGCCAACGTTCATTTTGATTTAAATGTCTTTACGACCATTTGAAAAAATTTCATGTATTAATCGTAAATTATATAGGTATAAAACTATAATTGAGTAGAATCGATCAACTGCACTTATTGGTAGTAAATATACAACTGCCGACTAAAGTGCTGTACGCCTGTACAGTTTGTATGAACAAAAAAAACTGATAAATAAATATTAGTTATAAAATTAATAGGTTTAGATACTTAATTGTATCGAGTTCCATTGTCATCGGTGTAATAAAGATGGGTAAGATAGGTTTATCTCTTACATTATAACAACATAAATTTTATATGAAAAAAAAATAAAATAATAATCGAAAAATATTGTAATAATCCACTCATGTCACTATTGACTTATGTTAGGTGACTGTCACGACTTCAGGTTAAGAACCGCTGCCCTTAGACAAAATAAAAGTGTTGTGATATTTTTTTATGATTTTCATAACAACATTTTTTTTGAATGGGAGAGGTGGATTTCAAAATTGAAGTCTAACCTAATCTATCGGGAAGTGGGAAAGCTCGTCATGAGATAAATGTTTGTACCTTATTATTGTAATCATTTGCAGATAGCACAACGTTTCTTTATACTATGTGCGTATTTTCCAACAATATGTACTAACATAAAATTCATAACTTGAATGCCATCTAAATGTGCAGATTTTCCAAAAATGTTCTCTTATAAAAACCTGGTCTTGACAATTAAGAACATAACTACAAAAAAATCAACCAAATCGGTTCATCTGCTTTCGAAATTATGTTGTATTCAACAAAATATTGATTCATTTATAAGATATGTATATGTATATAGAGATTATTTGGGTGTTCAATTAGATGTCATAGTAATACTATAACTTAATTATTAAGTTTTCAGAAATAAAATGAATTTTTTTTGAGATTCTAATCATATTCAAAGAAAGTTGTTATACTGCTTGATGATTACCAATTTCATTTTCTACCAGTTCTAAAAGATTTCTTTACCAGAGTAAACTGATAAAGTGAATTTTTGAGTAATTCCGAAGAAAAACATTTTTTTCATAAGTTTTTGATGAAAATTGTAAATATTCCAGCCTTTCAAAACATATATAACTGAAGTTTGCTCCAAATCATTTTTTATTATCAATGACTTATTTATCGTTGGTTACATGAATAATTTAAATAACTACATACCCCACCTTCTCTACTACCTACTTACTAATAGTGGTTGCACCGTCTTCAGTATCAGACTTTTTTTTTTTTTTTTTAAATATAAAAAACTTCTTCCAAAAATTTTGTCCGGGCTTTCAAGTTCAGCGCTTTTTCTGACAGAAAATCTGACTGGATTGTTACTTTAGGGAGAACGCTTTATGATGTTCCCAGGTGTTTTCATTATAAATTAAATGAGAATATTTTAAAATGTATTATTTTCAAACTGTACATATTACGGCCTTTTAAAACATTTATAACTGAACTCTGTTCAGAATTGTTTTTCATTAACACAGATTAATTAGAGCATATATTTAAACGATATTTGTTAAATTTCCCTTTATATACTATCTTTCAATTTCTCACCTACAATAGAGGCCCATCCATCGAAGTATGTCTGTATCTTTTATTTATATTTTTGTCATTTTTTAGTTGTTAAATAGTTGTAAAAATACAACTTATACTACTCTACTCGGAATTGTTTTTAATTTGCAATGATGTATTGTTGTATACAATATATAAACTTAATTATCATGTAAACCTTATTTTTTCTACAACACTGGCTTACGTGTGAGCAATATTAACTTTTTAATTTTAATTTGTGTAAACTGATATATGATTCGTTTTTTTTTTTTTTAATACAATAAAAAGAGGGTAAAAGCAATGTTCCACCAAATCCTTCTCAAAATAAGATACACCAGAAACAGCAGCAGCTATTGGAAGGAAATTCAACTAAAAGTTCTGAAGGTCCTTAAATACTACAACTTAAAACAATTTTAATCTTTTTTATATGAATAGTTTTTTATGAATAATTTTTAAAATAGGTAAAAATGTGGCACAACAAAAACAGCAGCAACAGAAGAAGACTAGGACCAAACCAACTAATGAACCAGACAATTTACAAAAACAATCACTTAAAACAGGTTAGAAAAAAATGCATAAATACAACAATAATGTTATAATAAAATTAAGTGTTAGTATCAGCTAGATTTATCTATGTAGATATAATAATGTGAATATGAGTGGACAAACATGGGTTTAAAATACCTTAAGCAGAATTTTAAAATTTCACTGAGTAAAAACAACCTCGTTTGAGATAAGCTTAATTATGGGATAGCAGAGGAATACACAATATTACTGAATGTCTCATTGTATAGTAAGCCACGAGAAGTTCAGTTGTAATGGCGCAGTAAAGTATTAAACATCACTAAAGATATTTTTCTGAAAAAATGAATCAAATTATGACTACACAATGTGCAATCCACATGCAATTCGGACTTCCATCGCTTGCAGTTGCTTCCAACTGCTGATGGATTTTAAAATGGGTTATCTCAAATGTGGTCATTTTTGTTCTGCCACCCTATATATGACTTGTGAAAAAGAGCTTAAGTAGGCATACCCCTTAGGATTTTCAAAATATTTTTGAATGCTGAATCTCAAAAAGGTTTGATTTTTTTTTGGAAATGCCAAGACAGTCAGAATTTTTTCAGGAAATTTTATTTCAGAAGTTTTAGTGATGTGAAGTTTTTATAATTAATTAGTGGATAGGCTTACCAGTAGCCAATAAACAATAATCAAGGTAATGGAGGTTGGCTAAAAATACGTAGCTAAAAGTAGAGAAGTTAAAAATGTAGGTTAGTCAGTGGTATTCTCTGCCTCCAAAATAAAGAGGGCTCCACTTTAGTCTGCGAGAGAGAGAGAGTAGTATTTATTAGCCATCTGTCCTCCACACCCTAACATACATTACTAATAAAAATTCATTATTGTAGATTTTGTTTATCATAACTAATTTAATAGTAATTTCCTAACAAAATTCAAACATTTTCAAATCTGCACAAAAATCCCAAGTCCGCATGACTTGTTTCATAACAATTATTTATTATTATTAATCTTTTATCATTAGATTAATTGTTTTAGTTTAAAATGTATGGAAGTTTACAATAATTAGAATTTTATTATTATCTCCATTAAATAATAATTGAAATATAATTAATAAATAATTATAGTAAAAATGAAAATATTGGTAATACATTTATATTCATAACTTTAGAAAAGCGATGTTGACAACAAAAATAATATTTATGATCATTACAAAGTTATATTTGGCTATTTACATTAAATTGATTAAAAATATATTTTTTGTAGAACAAGCTGCTCCTTTGAAATCAAAAGTCTTAAATCAAATGGAATCAAGTATTAAATAAAACAATAGTTTTTTTTTTTTTTTATGTATACAAATTTAAAATTTTATATTTGTGTGATTTCTTTTCATTTTTAGTTAACCCACAAATTGATCAACAAATAGGAATATTGAGGAACCGGTTAGTCATACCAAAACGGAAAAATCCAAAAATGGGTGGTACTTTGGGACGTCATACTGAAGTAGAAGTAAACTATCTTCCTCTTGATCTAGATAAAATGTTCAAGAAAACTATATATCATATTGATTGTCAGTTTAATCCAGAATTACCCAAGAGACTTCTAAGGTAACTCAAATACTGTATTTATAATTTATTTTAGTTTTTTTGCTAAAAATATATTACAATCTTCATCCAATATTTTATTCTTTTATAGAACTGCTTTGGAAAAATTTGTTGATAAACATTATCATGGTACACTTTTTGCATTCGATGGAAGAAGAAATATGTATACTACAAAAGATTTGAAAGGGGTATATTATACTTATTTACTTACTAAATTGATGATATGTGACTAATGATAATTCACAATATTAATTTAAGTCTCAATTTTATGTTAAAAATGTTAAAGGTGTTTTGAGGTAAAGTGTCTTATAGTTTTATTAATATTAACTTGAAGTTATTATAATCACTAATTCGTTAATATTATGTTCAATAATGTCAAATTAATTTTACTTTAATATAAGCAAAGAAAGTACAAATTTATATAATTTTAAATGTGCATGTATACATCTAATCAATCAGTTTCTTTAGGAGTGGTTTCATTAATGAAAGACATTTTAATTATCCTTTTACCAATATTAAATAAAAAAATATATTTGCAGAAAGCCGGCCTAATAACAGTTTTAAATGAAGAAGATGGTAAATCTGTAGACTTCACCATTGTTACATCAGTTGTTAATCATATTAATATGGCTAAGATTCAAGAATATTTGAAAACTGGATCATCCAATTGCCCTCCAGGAGAAGCTTTTCAAGCATTAGATATTATTTTAAAAAACAGACCATTTTCATTAAGGTTAGTAAATACTAAATATAGTAACTGAATACTCTGTATTATTAAGAGGTTGTGATTACCTACCCCCATGTACTGTCGTCATCAAATAAACATAGCATTAGACAATGTGTGTTCTGCTGGGGTAATTTTGTGCTGTTTTTAATATCAAAGTGAATTCATCAATTATCAAACTTAAATCTGGATCATTATTTGTCTTATTTTTTTAGTGAGAAGAGTATGTGAAATATCACAACTTTAATGTTCTCACATTTGTAAAATAAAGACAACACATGACTTATTACATTCTCTTAAATATTTATCAAATTTTGTTGTAGTTTATCAAAATATAATAATCACATTAAGTTGAAGAAAAAAATTAATTTCTGTAAATGATGGAAATTATTTGTGTTTCAGGTTTACTAATGTTGAAAGATCATTTTTCCCAGTTCAAAGTATGACACCACCTGATTTGGGTGAAGGAATGGAACTTTGGAAAGGAATTTCCCAAAGTCCTGTTATGGGTTGGAAGCCATATTTAAACATAGATGGTAATTTTATAATAATTAACTTTAAAATTTTATACATAACTTAGTGTTACGGGCCGTTCGAACACAGCCTTTTGGTGGGAAGATGTACACGTGTGTAAGGTGTACAAACGGTTTTTTATTAGAATTTGAACAAAACACGGTTGACAAGTTGTATTTATGAGTGAAAAACCTGGGACACCAGCCCCGGGTCAAGACTTAGATGTAATTATCAGGTATAAATACATTAATGAAATGACTGGACGGATTGGTGTCGAGGTGACGGTACTCCTCCTTCTCGTTCGTCGGTGGTGGTGTGGTTGTCTCGACTCTTGATTGAGTTCAAGTTCTCTCGGTTTACCACACCCGTATCAATGGCCCCGACGTGCGTATACTTAATGCGACGACCGATTTCATATCTTGTCGCGCGGAATTCTTNACAGAGTCCGTAACAATATCGGTTTTCCAAAAATCTAATTTGATTTATTCAAATGGCAAATTGTATACAAATTAATTAACATCTATATTTATATGAAATAACAATTTGTCATTTTTCAAAATGCTAACTCCTAACAAACCAGTGAGAAAATTTGAGATTTGTTGACTGAAATATTTTCAATAGTGGGAAGACAACCTCCTCATAATAATAGTATTAGTATTAGTTATCAATTTATAAGATAGTAGATTTTCTTCAAAAATGTCATGTTATTATTACTATTAACTAATTAATGTTATTTCATATTTTAGTGGTACACAGAGGATTTCCTAAGCATCAATCATTGACCTCTTACATTCAAAACGAATTAAACAGCCGTCTTGATACAGAACTGGATTCTAGAACTCTAAATGCTTTATTAAGTTATGTTAAAGGATTAAAAGTTGATTTTATGGTTCCAAATCAACCTAATACTAAACGGTCATATAAAGTTGGGGGGCTTCTTGATACTGCAACAAAACATATGTTAGTATTCTAAATTGTTTCTAACTATCCTGAATGTATAATATATGATTTATTTACTGTAACAGTTTGCACAAGTTAATTTGTCATGAGCCATGCTCATTATAAATTCAACTATTGAAAATAAAGTAAAGGAGCTGGCTAACTTAATTACTGTACATATTTAGTGTACAAAAAGCAGTATTATGCTGATAATTCTGTTAATATTGATTTTTTTAATCTGGTTTTTTGTACTATGAAGAAAAATTAAGCTTATTTTTTATCCCTTAATTATTGAAAATAAGAGGGAAATTTATTCTATCATTTTTCATAAATGTACAGTGTATTAATTTCTTTAATTAGTTAACCTGTGTTATGTTTTATTAATTATATTGAAAAATAATGATGAATTAATGACATTTTTTTTTTATAGTTTTGAAGTGAATGATGGTAATAATGCCATTGAAACTAAGTTTAAAATACTCTCTGTCTTTCAATATTATAAAATAAAACGAAACTACATTATTAAGTATCCTAATTTACCATGTTTACAAGTTGGTAATAAAATAACTGCAGTTCCAATTGAAGTAAGTAAATACTTACTCACTTATTTATTTTGCTGTATTATTAGTTTATCTTTATTAAATTTTACAATAATTGTGTTTTAATTATAATCTTAATTTATATTAATTTTAGTTGTGCAATGTTCAAAAAGGACAGTTGCAAATGAGAAAATTAACAGAAAATCAAAGTGCTCAAATGATAAAAAATGCAGTTCGTCCACCCAAAGAACGACAGCATACTATTGAAAAATGTATTAATGATATGAAATACAATCAAGACCCAGTATTAAGAGAATTTGGTATTAATGTCCAAGAAAAATTTGCCTGTATTCCAGCAAGAATTTTGGATCAACCTTCTTTAACATATTTTCAGAATAAGGTATACTTTTAATTGATAAATAAATAAATTGTAATAATAATTGTTTTTACTCTTTTATATCCTTGAAAACAATTATTATATTAACTTTATTCAAATAATAAATTAAATATTTAATCAAAGTAAATTTCAAATAATGAATTGCGCTATAGAATACTAAATTCATTTCTACAAGAAATCTGAAAATTTCACTGGATAGAGTGGTGAAATTTTAATACCATTTTAGAGATTTATGAGCTTGACTATTTGTAATTTTTTTATTATTTTTTATCTCTGGTTTTATATTTTACAAGGTTTAATTTAAGAAGAGCTTATAAAAATATAAAAGATTTATGATCAATAATATTTCAATTTTTATTTTGTCATTTACTGTATAGGTAAAAGACAGTAGTAAAATATCATTGAAAACTTCACCACCACACAAATGATGTTTCACTATTGTCTACATACATAGGGTAAACTTAAAAGTAAAATATCTCAATGAAATTTAAGACATTTAATCACCAACATTTATTTTTACTAAAATCTTTATTTATGGATTTTGTATAACTTGTGATAACTAATTTTATTGGTTATCATAAAACAACTTAATATTAAAAACAGTAATAACAATTCTGCCATTTATACATTGGTTTTCATTCAGTTTAGCAAAAGTATCATATATTTTATTAAATAATTCTGTTTTATAGATATGAAAAATCTTTTTTCATTTATATATTTAAATTTTATTTTACAAATTTCGAATTATTTAAATCTTCAATTTATTTAATTTCCATGCCTATATTTTGTTGTAGTATATATCTTAGTACAAAAATAAATTATACCAACTTTTTAATTCTAAACACATTTTTAATTAAAAGCGTGTTAATGGTTTTTTTATTTTACTATCATTTTTTTTTTTTTTTTTAGGAAACTAAACCCATAGCCGGTATTTGGAAATCAGATAAATTTTCTAAGTCCGTAAAACTTACAAGATGGATTGTTTTAAATTTAGATTCACATACTTATGCCTCAAGCATAAAGTAAAAATTAATCACCTCTTATAACACATTTATAAAACATGTATATGAAACTAATAAATTATTTTAATATTGTTTTAGAAATTTTGAGGTATTGCTGATGCAAAGTGGTAGAGAATTAAATGTTCCAGTAAATCCAATGGATTCTATTCATAATCTAAGTTTTTCAAAATTTGAAAATGTTGATATAATTGAAAGAGAAATTACAACTGTTTTGAAGAAATTGATGGCAAAAAATATCCCCCCAATAGAACTTATTGTGGTGATTATACCAGATTATCCAATAGGAATATATGGTAAATTACAAATAATATTACCCAAATATTTATTATATAATAATTAATAATATATAAATAAAACTACATAATTTGAAAATATTTAAGTTGTGTTTGAATCAAATGTTTCATTGATATATTTTTTTATCATATAAGTATTTTGACTGTATACTTTGTATTATTGTAAATAATTCCATCAAGATGATTATTATTTTATATAACCACCTTCATTTTATTTTTAGCTGCTGTTAAACAAGCTTCAGAGTTACATGTTGGTATACTTACCCAGTGCATTAAATCTAAGACTATGTTTAAAATGAAGATTTCTACAACAACTAGTATTTTAATGAAGATAAATTCTAAATTAAATGGAATCAATCATACTTTGTCATTAAAAAGCAGGTAATATTTTGTTTCTTTTAATTCTGGTTTTTTTTTTTTTTTTTTTCATTATTTAAAAAAATAATACTTTTTCTGATACAGTACAAATTGTAAGAAACTTAATAAAGCTTTAAATTATTTTTTTTTGAATTTAATATAATTAACAAAAAATAGTTTTAAAAATAACTTAATGTAATGTTAAAAAAGAGTATACTGCTGGTGACAGTCTGTTGGTGGTAGGTGGTTGGGAAGGTGGAATACAATAAGTTATTTAATTTATACCTGTAATCAACAATAAACCATTGCTTAATCAAAATTATCCCAAGACAAGTTCATTCAGTTCTATATGTTTTGAAAGGCTATAATAATTAAGATTTTTAATAAAATTTGATTTAAAAACTACATTGCTCATTTTTTTTTTTTTTTTTTTACCCTCAATTACGACCTATAATAAACCTGCCTAATAAAACAACTCTCAAAATTAAAATCTCTATTAATATAAATTATAGGGCAAAATAATCACATATGCATTATATATTTTCTATAATAATATTTGTTTAAAATTGTACCTTTACCCCCCCCCCTATGCTTTCTCATTTATTGGGAAAATCAAAAAAATTACTTCAATATATTCCTTATTCCACTCAGAATCTTAAATTAGAAATATTCAATATTTTTCTTTTTTTTTTGCAAATTAAAAATACATTAACTATATTTTTAAATAACCTCAAAATGAAATATTTTGAATGCAGTAATCAGAAATAATATTTTCTCAATATTTTACTTATTGCTCATAATGATAATTTGTTATTACTGTAATTTAGTCCTAGCTGTATGACTGGTGCGATTATTTTTGGAGCAGATGTCACTCATCCATCTCTAGATCAAACTGATGGTCCATCAATTGCTGCCGTGAGTATATTTTAATAATTGGAAGATTTAGTATTCGTTTTTTATTATAAATTCACATTTTTAACAGCAATAGATTTATTGAATTGTTTACGTGTGTAACCTTATATAAATTAATTGCATTAAGGTGCTTTTTAATATTTTTAATATTTGAAGATTGATTCTGTATGTAATTTGTATTGTTTAGATAAGAACTTATGAATTATGAAGAAGTTATTTTTCTAGGAGACTGTAATTAACAAACAATTTTTTTTTTAAAGTCAACCTTATTCAATTATGTTATTCATAAATTTAGTTCCATTTTCTCATCAAAATAAATGTAGTTAAAAGTTTTCTTCTAGCTTAGATTCTGATCAGTCAGAAATGTATTGGTCTTAAAATGAGATTTTTTTTTTTTTCTATGAAATGATTTTTCTACTAAGAATTTTGCTGTGATTTTGAAGTCTAACAGTACTCTAAAAAAAAAATTTTAGACAGGTGCTTATTTTAGGAGATAATTTTTAGATTTTTCAAATGGTTTTCATAATTGGGAAAACCCATGAAAATTTATGAATCGTATAATTTTCAATTTTGTTATTAGTTGTGATTCAGTTAAAAATATTTGTAGAGACTTGAAATTTAGACAGAAAATTTAAATTAAATCATATTTAATAAGATTATCTTTTACAAAAATCTCTTCTAGATATGGTAAAATTTTCAAAATATTTTAATTTTGAGGGTTTTTATATAATTTTTATTGTGTAAGTACTTGTGAATTGTTTAATCAAACAGAAATGCTTGAAAATTTAACAGAAAATTCAAAAAGGGGGGGGGGTTATCCTATTTTTTAGGTATGTACATTAAATTTCTCTCTATATCCTTTCTTCCCAACTTCATGCCTACAACAGTGGCCCACCTCTTATACAAAATATGTCTATATCTTTTTTAGACATGGAGCTGATAGAATTTAGAATTTTCTTTATCAAACATCAAATCCTCAATCTAATATGTTTAACTTTTTGTTTTATTCGATTTTAATCTAAAATAATTATCATATGGTCATGACTTAAAGGGATATGGTTTTCCAAATGTTTCCAGTTCTTATTTATATTTTAATGGTGACCTTAATAATAATAGGGCTTATTTACTGCTCATTTGAGAGGAAGGTGTTTTATAACCTGCTGGTTTTATTAATGAAAATGACCTTTTAGACCAAAAACAAGACTTAACTGTAAGAGTTACATTTGACGGATTTAAATTTTGAAAGTGTGTGATTCTTTATATTCTTTCCTAGATTATGTTAAAATTATGTATTTTGTCATTATTCTAAGAAAGAGGCTTAAACAATTTTCAAAAATACAAACAAATCTGTTATGAATTCCACTAAAATAATAAAATTACTACTATTCTCAGGTAACAGCAAGTCATGATTTATCTGGAAGTCAATACAATATGGAATGGCGTATACAATCATCTAAAGTAGAAATTATTCAAGATTTAGAAGACATAGTCTACAAACAATTGCTCAAGTATAAAGAGAGAACAAAAATTATTCCAAAAAAAATATTATATTTTAGAGATGGTGTAAGTGAGGGACAATTTCTACAGTTGTTAGAATATGAGTTAATTGCTATTAGGCGTGCGTGTTTACGTTTAAATCTAAATTATCAACCTCCCATAACATTTTTGGTCGTACAGAAACGACATCACACTAGAATATTCCCCAAACATCAAATTGACAAGTCTGGCAAATTTCAAAATGTTCCCTCTGGTACAGTTATTGACACTCAGATAACACACCCTACAGAACTTGATTTCTACTTGTGCAGTCATGCTAGTATACAAGTTAGTATTTAATCATACATTTGCAATTTTTTAAACTCATATTTTTTATTCATTCAATACATTTTAAAGGGTACATCAAGACCAACCAAATATCATCTTATTTGGGACGACAGCAGTTTTACCGAAGATGAAATTGAAAAACTTACATTCTACCTGTGTTTTATTACTGCTCGATGCACTAGCTCCATTTCATATCCAGCACCAACATACTACGCCCATTTAGCTGCTTTTAGAGCACGGTCTTATATTGCAAAGTAAATATATTTTTAAATATTATTAAATTATAAATACTTTAATTTTCTTTTTTTCTTATAGTAAAACAATAAAAGTCAGTTGTTTGGCTGATGAACAAGTTAAACATCAATTGAATGCTGGATTCACTGTTGCAACGCCAATGTTTTTTATTTAATTAACTTTTACTTAACAATTAATATCTTTTTCTATTTGATTTTAATTTGTAAATGTATTAACTATAATTTTATGTTAAACATATTAATAATTGAAGACTAAAAAACAATAATGGGTTAAGTGCCAAAAAGTCGATTTTGAATTATTCTTATTATAACCTCTCCTGCTACTCTGACACATAGCTCTGGCATAATTTTGTTAGGCTTTATACACTACTATTATGGTTGTGACAAATAGGGCTTTATATAGATTGGCACATTAGCTCAATTTTCAAGTTTAACTTTTGACACTTGATTTCCAGTTTTCAACTTTAATATTATTTGTAGTTTATAGTTTATAATTATATAGAAGCAGGTTAAAAATTGGTATCAATAACCATAAGATCTAATCAAACTTGTAGTATCAAGAATAATAGTATTTCTTGTAACCAGTTTATGCATGAAGTTACAGGTGAGATATATTGATAACTTTATAAAAGTATTCTTTTTTTTGTTTAAGAAGAGGGCGTGATCTTAAAATAATAAATATAATCATTTATCATTTTACAATTATTGTGAATCACTAATTTAATCATTGGTTTTGTCAGAATGATAGTTGCAAGTACTTGAAATTAATAAAGTAGACAATTAGATATACTTGTACTTGCTATTTATTCAGTTTTGATTAAATATTATGACACTGTATAGTTAAATTTCAAATTTAAAGAACCCAGTTTACAGTATTGAGTAGTATCTATATAAATGTATATAGACAGAAAAAAGTGTACTTCGATAAAGATGAATTATTATATCCCTGATTTACTTATCTAAATAAATTTTTAATTTCATTCAGGTTTTTGGGAAACTTGTTATTTTCTTTAATGAACAAAATATTGCACTAAGTTCCAGGTGCACATATAATCAACTCATAAATAAATGGACTCAATTTATATAGTATATTTTATTAATCCTTTTGCTCCCGTTGTCCTTGTACAGGGACATAGATAATTTAGATAATTAAAAATTTAAAACGAGTATTTAGAAATATATGTCCCTGTACAAGGACAAAAGTGAAAGGGTTAAGTTATAAAAAAATATTCAAACACTTGATTTTAGCTGAGTGAAAGTGTCGCCACAAATACCTTCAGATTCATCTGAAAAGACATTTTCAGCAACCCGTATTTATATGCTGGACCCCAACCAGATTTACTTAGGTACTATGTAAATTTTGACAAAACGTGTAGATGATAACCTTGCTATGATATGTGCCCTTCAATTCTTGAATACTTAAGTATTCCGAATTGAATTTAAAATGCGCTGGAGCTCTACACAGTCCAATCATTTTTATTTTGGAATTCACTACAATCTATTCTAGTTTAAATGTCAGTAGAGTATTATAAAATAATTAGAATTTCACTTAATACTAACATAGAAAAATAAACTATTTTCTGAGCTCTAAGGTAATTATTTTTCGATACCTATCAAATACACACAATAGATAAAATACATAAATAAATAATTAAGTAAAAACAAATTATTAATATTCCTAAATAAAAATATATAAATATGTTAAGAATTATAAATTGTTTGGTTATTATTTAAAAAGTATTGATTGGGTTGAAAATCATTTTGAACAATTAAAATTATTTTTCTTTATTTCATTGTGTATTTAATATTTCCAAGTCTGTATTAATATAAAAACTTTTATTGTGGTTATTTTCTAAAACATATTTAGCAAAATTTGAATAAGGGGCAGTCTTTTTCAGTGTCATTTATAAAATACATTACAATTACATTTAAGTTTATGTATGCCAGCATTTTCAAAAGAAAGAGGATTTTTGTAAAGTTTTTAGTTTTATTGTTTATATGTTTGATCAAGTTATTCGATCAAAGTATTCGGTATTTTAAACACTTTTAATATTGAATACTTTTTTTTGATTCTAAATTTGCTTCTATTTGTAAATCTTGTTAAATAAAAATACCATGCTGTCCTGCTTCAACATTATAATAATTAATATTATATATTTATCATTTATGGATCATTCAAGATCAGTTTCCTATTCATGGCTTAAATAAATGTTTTTTTTTTTGTGAAGTACAACACTCCACTACCTAGAAGTGTTTCTGTATAAAGTGTTCAGTGTTAGTGGTGCAACTATAATTAAAAAAGAATTATACATGACTCATTAACATTTTAAAGAAAATGTGCTTTGGAAATGCAATAATCAAATTTGTGATTAAAATAAATAATTTCAGAACTAAATTGAATATTTTTTGTATTTGAAGATTATTTTAAATACTTTTAGAAATTATTTGAGTAATTACTATATAATATATAGCTATTCTATAATTATTAACCTATTTTACACATAGGTATTATACTGCTATTCAATGTTTAATAATTGTATTGTAGACATGTTAATTATATAACTATTCAATATGCATAATATACATCTACAAAACTATGTTTAATAGATGTTAATGTGTTTAATATCTAATATCTATGAATACAAGTCAACCACTGATAAACATGAATTCCACTATTAATAGTGGAGCCATCATAATATATGAAGTCGCATGGCTGCACAATTGTTTAAGAGGTATAATTATGTAGATTACATTAGATATATTTGTCAGGTGCTATTATTAAAATTAATCTATTATTCAAAATGTTTGTTACTTACATATAATACAATTACTACTCAATTCAAATGTTAGCAATAATATGCACATTTAACTTTTTTAGTTATAATTTTTTGGTAGATATGCATTCCTGATGGAAAAATGGGGCCTAATAGTTTATAAAATACTCTGTAGACTGAGTCATAATAGAAGACTGTCCAATTTATTCATATAAGTGGAATTTCCAGGATACACAAACTAGAAGACTGAGCTATAAAATTTCTTTACAACCTGAAAATCAACTTATAGACTAAAATGTTACCATTGTTTTTTATAGTTACTATATTTTTGTTATTTTAGTTTAATATTCTTTGTATTCTCTGTAAGCCATAGGCATATAGAATATAAAAATAATAAAGTAAAACAAAATTATTAAATTATTTACGAGTATGAACTATTTTAATAATTTTGTTTTAACTTAATTATTTTATAATTTATATATTTAGTAGAATAGATCAATAAATTATTAAAATGCAGTTTTTCATGTATTCATACATTATTATTTTTGCAGTATCAAACAATTCATTGAACAACAATTAACATAATTAACTGTTTTAACTGTTTTAAATGCCTTAAGAAAATAATGAATTTGAGGATGAAATATTATACAGTGATTTATATAAAGAACATAATTGAGAGTAAAAATTGAATGATCAACTCTTATTGTTAAATAAATCTAATTTTGATTACAAAAAAACCATTGGTATAATAAGGAAGTAGTGTTAATGATAATAAATAAATTTGTAATTTTATTTATTTAAAAAAAAAAAACCTAGCTGAAAAAATAGGTACCTACATAATATTTAAATTAATAATCTGAATAATCTTAATTTGAATCAATGGTATAAGTGAAAAGGACTGTTGTAGATTTGAGAGGGGGGCCAAGGTCCTTGCATCTCTGGTTCTATTACTGTATTACTGTATTACTGTGTATGGTATATGACATAGTTAAATATACCCTTTGGGAACACCACTGGTTATAATATACACATTATATTGTATATAACATATATAATAATGATAATAATATAATTTTTAAAATGAGACTCAATTCACTTACTGCCATACAAATTTACTATATAATATACTATACTAATAATACTATTTAAAATTTAAAAGGTGGCAAAATCTGTTGGATGATATCTACCAAAAACATTTAAAAGTGCCAACTACATAAAAAAAAATTGATATTCAACCAGATAGACAAGGAGGCATTAAAGAGTCTTAATTCCTGAAAATATAAATTTACCTATAAAAGTCAAAAATTTAACATTTATTTGATATGTAGGTTCTACCTATAGAAAATACATATATGTAGTTGATACTTTTAAATATTTTTGGTAAATATCATCTAACAGATTGTGCCACCTTTCAGATTTTCCTATAGTTAATTTTAATAACCACTTATGTAGTACAATATTTATCAAAATAATTTGTGATTCGAATGCCTATTGCCTGTCATATGACAAGTATGAATTTGTCAATATAATTTATTTTGTTATAACTATAAAGTATAAACATTAGATTATGAACGATTAAAAAAAGTTTTGGGTATTATATACCGACTATAACACGTTAGATAGATAAATAAGTGGCATTGTGTGGTGATTACAAAACTATATTTCTTAAACATAAATTACATAATTATATTTTATATGATTAACCTATACTTTGTGTCATAGTAATTTCAAAATAAAGAACAACAACCGAATTGTATGCTCATTTTACGCTATTGTGTATAAATAAATTTAATTATTTTATTACTCTTACATAATTAATATTAATACAAGCATATTTATTATTTATTCTCTGTTAGTCTTAAAGAATAATATCCAGTGGTTTTTATTTATTTATTAGAAATTAAAACATCTTAAATTATCTCCATATTATTCTGGTGAATGCAACAAAATGGACATGACAGTATTCACTTTTTTCATCAATGGTATAATATCTTCACAGACAGAATTATTTAGATACCCTATTGTTATAATATATTATGTAGGTAATTTTATTTAATTTTGAAAATTAGAAAATACCTAGGCATTAATATTTTTAAAGTAAATAATATGCTGTAAAATTAATTATAATTTATAAACAAATAAAATGCAAATATTTTTTTTAAATGTTCTATAAATAGTATATTTCAATATTTGTGAACCTTTAAAAGTGTCTATTCACTGTAGGTATTCACTGTTTTCTCTATGCAAAAAATCCTGTCCTGTTCTATCCTGAAGGTATTTTTTAAATTAAAGGAGACGTGCAATGTTCATGTACACATAAGGATTTCAGTTTTGGTTTTTTAAATGAAATTATTTTACTTTGTTACATAATCTTCTAAAATAATTATGTAATTATATAATATGTATTACACTTGCATTTTCAAAAAGAGCGGGATTTTTCGTGAATTTTTTAGTTCTATTGTTTATTTAGGTTTGATTAAACTATATTGGTCTTAAAAGCCATTTTTACATTATTTATATTGTTCAGAATTTTAACAAATTTGTAAAAGATATTATTTTGATATTCATACTACAATAGTTAACAACATTATTTGGTATGTTTATGAATTTTTTTATTAGTATTTAAATTGAAATTATTTCTATGAGTTATATTATAGATAATATAAGGGTGGTTAGAATCGTATGGTATTATATCATCAATTTGTATAGATTTCCTGTAAATACTACAATCAAATGTATTCTTTATTATGGAAACTGTAAGATCTAAGAAATTTAGTTTATTATTTATTTGTATTTCGAGTGTAAATTTAATGTTTTTCTTTATTTTGTTTAAGTAGTTAAATACATTTTTGACTTGTCTATTTGAACCTCTAAATGAAATGAACGTGTCATCAACATATCTATAATATGCTTCTATACACAGACTGTATATTTTGTTGTTAATAATATTATTGGTTTCATAATTTTGCAAGTAGATTTCAGATAAAAGAGTACTTAGAGAACCACATATAACTAACCCATCTTTTTGCGAGTATAATTTCGAAGTTTCTAAAAGTAAATTTCACTAGGGAGGTACTATAGAAGTCATTATTTGATTTTTTCAGGAGTTTTCTCATCAAATGTGAAAAACCGAGATAAAACATGGGAAAATCGGTATAACATGAAACAAATATTATTAAAAAAAATATTTAAAGCCTATTTAATTATTCTACTATAAAATTATATATATATTGAGAAAGCATCACTATCAACTGAACTTTGCTCGTTTTTTCATAAGCAATGATTTATTGTTGCTTACAGGTATACATTAAATAATTATCTATAACAGTGGCTGCACCCGTCCCCATTATCCTAGAACATCATTTTTTATTTTGGCCGTCACCAACTCGGCCAAGTTGTTAACAGGATCGTGAACGACCGGTCGTTCCGATAAGATATTTTTACCGCTAAATTTACTATTCTTTTAAGTCTTTAAATGTAAATATTAGAAACATTACTATGGGCAAAAAAATAAGATAAAATTAATGTTCATGGAATATATTATATTTGTTTTCAAAGAACACATTGAGATTGATTTCCCGCCGTTCATTTGGTTTCCTCTGAGCAGCGGCCAAATTTGCCAAATTTTGTTATCAAAGACGGTTTTACCACTTTGGCCATGGCTCAAACAGCTGTTTAGGCGACGCGCCAGTATATTATGATTTATGATTATTAACACGATTTAAGATATACATATTTTACTCAAGGTATATATTATACCGTGATTATTTGACAGCTTGATCACTTCGAATAAAATTTGAATTTACTGTTATCATTGTTAAAAACTTACATGTACAATAACAACGAAAACAAAATTAAGAAATGTCTAGGGTATTAGGATTGTTAATAAAACTCTGTGCGTCGTCCATCGAATACATCGAAATTGCTAACTGATGAATTAAAATTCTATTGAGAAACAAACGGAATTTTAAACAAAATGAACTAAAAAATGTAAATTGATAAGCAAATCTTAAATCATTGTTTTACGATTATACATCGGATACAAGATTATATTGATAACATTATCACTGAAAATAATAGAAAATTCACTTTCACATAATTACTTTAGCGTTTATTTATTCTTTTGTGTTTGACTGTTACCTACTGTTTTAATATTTTGTTAAAAAATATATAATACAATAAATTCGTAGTTTTCTACAATTAGAAATGTCATTTTTATTTAACATTAGTTTGGTAAAATGTATTAAACGAATCATGCCCATCGTCAAGTATAAAAATAATTTATTTTACTGTAGAAACCAAACAAAATTTTTTCACAAAACAGAACAGAGTATGTTTACAGCAATTAGATATAGTGCATATTTACCTTCTACAATGAAACCCATACTTTTCGGATTTTCATTACTTGGTTTACTTGGATTTGACGAAGAAATTGACGAGGAACTTAAATTGATCAATACTATTAAAAGAGGCTTATTATTTTTACAAGTAAAATGTTGGCCCTACTACTATTAATATTATTATTATGAATTTAACCATGCTTAATACTATTTTGAGATACATAGTTGATTCTTATTATTATTATTATTCTGGTAACTAGGACATTCAATCATAATGGCCTAGATTCTTGAATTCTTGTGTGTAATACCTAATATAGATTATATTGCAACGTCACTTTTAGTTAATTGATTATTGTGCATATGATTATATTAACAATATTATTGTTAATTTATCGAAATCATGGTTAAAAATTAATTAAGTATTATATAAAATTTGCCTTTTATAGGTATAAATTTGCACACCACATAATACATTTTATTCTGTGATGTTTCTATAATAATACATTGCAGCAATTCACTACAGCTATTCAATATTAAATTCTATAACTTTATTGATGGTTTTGTGTTTTTTAGAAAGAAGACTTTGATGCTTTTGAACAAACATTGCATGATGCCCTCAAGATAGCTTACAATTTACAACATTTTGATGGTCTGACTTATGTGTTTGATGTATTAGCAAATGGTGCATTTATGAAAAAAGATTATGTAAATGCAGAAAAACTTTTTGTGACAGTCATGCAAAGATTAATGACTAAAGGAGGCCATGAAAATGACCTTAATATTTTACATATAAGTCTTAAACTTGCAAAAATTTACGAAGCACAAAATAATATCAGGTATTATAATAACGTACATGTATTTATTGTAGATTAGGGTGGCCCTTATTATTGAACTCTCGAGTTTTTGATTTCTCATCGTCTCATTTTAGTTCAATAGTATAACAAAGTCATTTTGGTTAAATTTGGTTATGATTACTCACTCCCTTTGCGTGCGCTAAAAGGATTAAAAAATCACAAAATAGGGTTGTTTTTTTCATTTATTGTGTATAATTAGAAAACTATTTCACTTATACTAAAAATGTATATAACTTAAATTATAAATCTTTATATTCTTAATATTAAACATAGTTAACTGTTGATGATAGAACAAAATATCCTGTTTAAAAATGATGAAAAGTTGTAATTTTTAAATAAAAGTTAATACGTATAGATTGTATTGGATTTATTGTTCTTTTGTCACAGTTGGATTTAAATAAGAAAATTTGAAGAACCTAAAATTGCACTTATCTATCATTATGTCAACTCAATAGTTTTATTTATTATACACGTTTTTTAGAGAATAATAAAATGGATACAAGTGGATTATAAATAATAATATAATTTTTTAATTATAATCAAATTTATATCTGGTAATTATTTAGGTGTAGTTAATTGGAAAACAAAACATTAGAGTATTGTATTGGAATTAAAAAAAAAAAAAAAATGTAGAAATAATAGGGAAATTTTTAATGATAATGATTTTATTATTTTAAATTTTTTTTTTTGTTGTAATTTAGTTAAAAATATTTGTATAGATTTATTTAATTTTCAAAACTTTTGAACTAATTATAGACATTATTATTTTGAGAGTTTTTATGTAATTTTTATTTGTTAAGTACTCAGTGGATAAATTTGTTACACTAAACAGAAATGTTTGAAAATTTGACTTAGTAAAAGTGGTAAAAAAAAAAAAAAAACATTGAGTGTATTATAATTTTTTATTATAAATTCTGAGTGAAAGAAAGAAGCTTATAGTTTTACCAAGATGTTTATTATTTTTCATTTTCTGTGGATAACTTTTCTACCAGCAATTTTGCTCTTAGTTACAATGATAATACTTTTTCTGAAATGAAATTTGACTAGGAAGTTATTTTAAGAAGGCCATTTTTTAATTTTCCCAAGAGTTTTCCAAGCAAATGGGAACACTATAAAATTGTCTTTAAATTATAAAACACCATCAATGTTATCATTTATTATATTATATTATAATGGTTAGTTTGATTTCTAATTTATTATTAATGTAATGTTTACAGTAAATGTGAAGTTGGCTATAGATACTGTATTCAAAACCTAGAGGAACTATTTCATAAAAATCCAGAAAATGAAAATGTTTTAGGTTTATATTCCTTATCTTTGGATGCCTATGCTCGTTATTTATTGAAACAAGGACATACAAAAGAAGCATTTAACAATTTTAAAAAATCCTATGAGATGTGTGTGAAGTTGCACGGTGAAATATTTGAAATGAATGTTATCTTGTTAAATGATCTGGGTACCTTGAGTTATGGTCAAGGACATGTAGAAGAAGCATTACAATTTTTAAATAAAGCTGTACAAATTGGGCAACACCTTCCTGACTTGGAATCATTCTCATCAGTGTACATAAATCTTGGTAGCATTTACATTAAACAAGGAATGTTAAAACAAGCAGAAACACATTGCATTGAAGGTATGAAAAATGCTAAAAGACATCATTATGAAGAAGGCAAAAAAGAAGCAGCGCATTGTCTACAAGAAATTAAGAGTGTTATGATGTGAATAACTGATTACTTTAAGTGAACTTTTTTTTTCTTTTGTAGATTCCTAAAATTGAAATTATATTGCTTAATTATATTAGAATCCTTTTTATTGTATTTTTTTAGTGAATGTTATTAAGATTTGAATGCTATGCTATTTGATGTATTTACTTATTTACATTTTAAAATAATATACTCTTATCAGTCCTAACATAATTTTATGTGAACAATATTAATCTTAATTTTGAATTTTTTTATTTCAAAATATTACAGTTCTTTGTATATTACATAATATTAACTTGTATTATTCACTATTGTATAAAATAGTTGTTTTTAAGAATTTTATTTTATTTTATTATTGTAATTATTATATTAATTAGTAATAAGAAAAACTAATATTTATTTTTGAATTTGTAATACTAGTATATCATTTTAAAATATATATAGTATATTTTTAAATTATGTATAATAATATTAAATTGTATCTATTTAAAAATTCAAAAATCAATATTATCTACTTATACTTCTTAAAAATAGATAACATCTTTAAATGTCAGTTTAAATAATAATAATGGTAATAGAATCTTTCTTAGTCTAAATAATATAGTATAATAAAAACATTAAAAACTTATCATGATTAATTTTCATGTATGATATAAATTTAAAAATAACTATGTATTTTATTTTTATTTTAGTAAATTGTAATTAGTATTGACTATTTACAATCAAAAATATTTAGAGGCCATTAACATCTATATATTTGGCGAATTTCAAAGTTGGATATTATGACATGAGAAATTTTTTTTTGAAACCTTTATAAAATTACTTGGCAAAAACAATTGTGAAATTATAATTTGGCAACCATAGTTTTTGAGTTATCAGCATTTTGAATTTGCATAATATTGAGTTTAGTGTGATTACCACCCTACACATATACTCACATGCACTTTTCAGTTTAAAATCTCCAGCAAGTAAGTGACTACTGGGTTTCTAGGTGTATTCATATTAAATCATACTTCAAATAACTTCATTAGTAATGGTGGCCGAAAAAAATTCAAACAGATATTGAAATCATGTAAAAGTGTTAATCAGCATTTGTTTCTTATTATTATTTAATTTTTATACTAGCAGGTTAAATTTCAGAAATCACATAGGTACTACCATTTGAATAAATGTCAAGTTTTAATGATTCACTATTTTATTTTTTTTTATTTTTTATAATAAATACTAATTTATTATATTTATATTATTAATAAATTAAATTACCTATAATGATATAATGTTTTCAGTCTACTCACATATGGCACATTTTATAAGTAAGTATTTATTTTTATTATAATAATATTTTATTCAAATCTTGTATCAGCATTATATTACATATTATTATAATTTCTGGTCATAAACTATTTTTACATTGTGTAATTTGTTTAGATTCTGAGTGAAGCTTTTACAAGGATCAATTTTTTTTCTGTGAATATCTTCTACCAGAAATTTTGTTCCATATTTCAAGTGTAGTACTTTTTCTGAAAGAAAATTTGATTGGGGTGATATTTTAGGGAGGTCATTTTTTTGATTTTCGCAGTTTTCACAATAAATGAGGAAAAACAGACAAATTTACAAAATGTATTATTTATAAATCGTAAATATGGTCTTTCAAAACATTTATAACCGAATTCCACTAATAATTTTTCATAAATAAGATTATTGTGGAATAGGTACCTATAGTTTATTAGGCCATTTTACATAGATTTGTTTAAGTTAAAATGCAGTAACACATCGTTTAGACCAGGGGTGTCCAACCTTTTGTGAATACTGGACCACATCATGTAGGTAGAAGTTGTTGTGGGCCACATACTTTTTTAAATAATAATACATTCTAATTTAATGATTAAATTATAATCTATACTACAACAATACATTTTTTTTTTATAATTTTACATTAGCGAATAATAAGCAGAAATATTTTTACAAGTATTGATATTTAATAATTTAATTATAAGTACACAGAAAAATATATTTATTTATAATAAAAAAAAGTTTTTGTAACGGTTAGGGACTCAGAAGTAGCTTTTTTAATATTGAGTTGCTGAGAAGAAAGACATGTTTTTAACTNGCAGAAATATTTTTACAAGTATTGATATTTAATAATTCAATTATAAGTACACAGAAAAATATATTTATTTATAATAAAAAAAGTTTTTGCAACGATTAGGGACTCAAAAGTAGCTTTTTTAATATTGAGTTGCTGAGAAAAAAGACATGTTTTTAACTCTAAAATTTTTTGTTTCCGAAAATAACCTTGATAGGAATCCATTTTGGTTGCATGTTTTTGTAGATAATGCCTTTTTCAATTATAATCTTTAAAAACTGAAATGGTTTCCTTACAAATTAGGCATGATGCGCCATTTTTCATTTCTATAAAAAAGTATACCGCTGTCCATTTTTCGTTGAATATTCTTCCTTCATCCGTTACTTTTCTTTTCTTATTGGACGACATGTCGCTATTTGATTATTAGTTTATTATAAAAATCAAATTATTAGGTATTTTATTTTTATTTTTTGATAAATGACACAGAATATTGTGTATCCGGAGCCAATAAAGATAAAACACTAATAATGTTTGTATCTAAACTTTAGATGAACTATCGAATATATCGTTCGAATGTTTTGTTTCCCGTGACCGAATATTTTGGTTCGGGAAAAATATTCAAATATACCGAATGTAAACTGTCCGAATAAATTCGAATATAAATATTAGATACCGAATGGTAACTATTCGGATAAAAACCATTTGAATATATCTACCGAATAACAAAGACAGGTGATATCCTAAACGCGTCGTGTTTTTAATTTTTAGCTTTTCCGTAGTCCTAGTGCGTCCATGGTGTTATCGACGAATTATTTTCAATTGTCGAGTGCGTCTGCAGCCGTACCAATGAAGCCCGAAAAAAGAAAGATTTATAATCCACATGCACGTTAATAATGCGAACTTCTTTAAAAATACGTCATAGGATAATGGACGTGAATGCAGCCGCTGTTTGAGGTAATTTAATGTAAACCTGTAACCACCGATAAACGATTGCTTACGAAAAAACGACTCTGAGCAGAGTTCATTTAATAGTGATGCTTAGCGAACAATATATATATATATATATGCCATATTACAGTACAAGAATTAAATAGGCTATATATATTTTCATTAATAATATTTGTTTAATTTTGTACCGATTTTGCCGGTTTCCCTTTTTTTTTTTTTTTCCCCGTTTGCTGGGAAAAGTCCTGAGAAAATCGATAAAGAACCTTCATTAAATACATCCCCCGTGAAATTTCCTTCCAGAAACATTGCTATCATTAAAAAGCGGAGCAAAATTGCGGGTAGAAAAGTTGTCCACAGAAAAAAAAATCGTAATATTAAGATAATGTTATACAATTATTTAGCGAAGATGTTTCATAAATGTTCCCGTTTTTTTTTTCGGTTTTTCGCATTTGATGAGAAAACTCTTGATAAAAAAAAAAAAATTAAACATTAACATCTTTATGAAACCATAAGCTTCTTCGCTTCACTCAGAATCTTAAACTATATATTACAGTTAATTTTTTTTATTTTTACCACTTAGTACGACATAAAACGATCCTTTATTCTCGGAGCACCCGTAAAATAAAAATTACGTAAAAAACTCGCGAAGTTAAAATGCCTGTAAAAAAAATGACTTAAATGTTTTGAAAATTTTACCACGTCTAAAAAAAAACAAATGTTATTTTCCTGTCATTATGTCAAAAAGTACACGAATATTTTTACCTGAATTATAATTTAAACAAACCAAATTTAAAATAACAAAAGAATAATATAATGTTCGTAAATTTTCCCGTACTTTCTATGTATTTTTCGGTTTAACTCAATTCTTTATAAATCTACAAAGAATAAAATAAAACAACTTTTTGGCCACCGACTAGATTAAAAATTAAACAAATCTGTTTTTCTATTAGAGTAATATGTCCGCAATAAAACGGAAAGCGTATAAATTACAAACAATTAAATCGTAACATTGTAAATTTGTCAGTTTTTGTTTTAGATTTTTTTCCGGTAATTCCTAATTATTAATAAAACTACAGAGAAACTCAAAAATTGACTTTTTTTCCTCACAAACTGTAATAAAAATGGTCTCTTATTCGTTTTTTTATCTATGGTAAAAGACAATAAAACATAAGCCGTACAGTTTTAATTAATAAAATCGTTACGCCGTTATTTGAAAAAAATAATTAGCTTTTTCGTCTTGTCCTGTTTTTCCAAATATAATGAAAACCCTTTAAAAAAAAAAAAATCCTAAAATGTTCTCCACAATGCAACAACTATTTATCATTTTCATTCAGAAAATATGTTCATCGGAACAACGAATCGGAACAAAATTATTGTAGAAAAGTTGTTCACAGGGAAAAAAAATTGGGCCATAAACGTCAAAATAAAATTAAATAAATACGTATCAAAATAAAATTATACAGTTATAGTTTTAGTTTCGGAGGAGCGTAGTGAAGAGTCTTATGGTTTTTGTGTGGTCTAACCGAATTTTTTAAACAGAAAACAAAATTATAGGAAAAATTTCAAAATATATTTACGATACATCGCGGCGTTACCGATTTCATTGTTTTTAATTGGCACACACCATGGTGTTGAATAGAAAATATCGCTTTAATAAAAAAATGTCAATAAAACTTGCATTTGATATGTAATTATTGACTTTGATAGTCATTTTTTTCTTTTTCATAATAAATGGGAAAACTGGAAAACGGTTTAGAATTTAAGGCGTACAATTCCATTAGGCTTCATAGTTTCTACCGGGAATATTGCAACGATCGAAAAAATTTAAAAATTTAAAATCTCTACGAATATTTTAACCGAATTACAACGAATAACATTGAACAAACAACAAATGCATTATTTTCGTAAATGTCCCGTTTTCTTACGTTTTAAACTGGGTTTTCCGTGATATTATGAAAACCGTTGGTGATATCAAAAAATGACGTCCCAAAAGTACCATATGGACAACGTTCCCGTTTCAGAAGTAACGTTGCGCGTATATATCTGAGCAAGTTTTCCGGTAGAATTTGTGTACACAGGACAAAAATATAAAAATCTTTGTAAAACCTATAGATTCTTGGCTACACTAAGAATCTAAAAATGTTTTCATTTATAAGTAAAAAAACCGGAACTCCATAATAACTAATATCACAGTACCCATATTTTACATTTGTTTGATAATTTATACATTTATAACATCTAATACACATTAAAATTTAATCTTTGTTTTCGAAAAATGTATGTTTTAATATTAGCTAGTATCTTATCAGTTTTTTTTTTTTTTTTTTGTATTTAATGAATATTCAAATTAGATTATAAAATGCAATAAAAAGAGGACTTTAAAATTATTTATATATTCAACAAACTCATTATTGTTACACGTCAAGGTTGAACATATTATCATTTCAAAGTTAAATTTAAAAAAAAAAAACACAAAACCTATACGGTTTTGAAACATTTAAAAAAATGTATATTGCTCTCCTGAACATTTGTTTAGCATTTGTGACGTATCATACAGTCGGCCTTTCAACCATTGGTATATTGTAATATACTCGAAAGATGAAAGAAATTGGCGATTTCCCTGTACGTCGAGGAAACACTATCGTGTGTGTGGCAGTATAAAACGCCGAAAATCTTAATATATTATATTTTTAACCGCGACCTTTGAAAACACGGGTTTTCACTTCTACAAAGGAATCTCGAGGGCATACTTTTTTACGTTGCGAGTGGGTATATACCTAATATATACGTGAGCATAGTTTATCGTTTAGCACATTTATATTCCGGCAAACCACGCCGAAGGTTTTCGATGTTATCATATCTTTTTTTTTTGTACAATTTTATGAAAAAATTGGAATGAACTTTGAAAGAAAATAGACGTCCTAGGATAATGGAAACGGATGCAGCCACTGTTATAGGAAGTTAAGTGTATACCTTTAAACACCGATTAACCATTGCTAACGAAAATACGATTTCTGAGTGGAGTTCAGTCGATAGTGATGCTTTGTCGACAATATATATGTTTTATTATGGTAAAATTATTAAATAGGCATTATATATATTTACTGCAAT